TAAGTCTGAGTCCATGATCCTCCACCAGAACCATTAAGTTTGAGGCTATGGTCCTCTATCAGAACCATTAAGTTTGAGGCTATGGTCCTCAATGAGAACCATTAAGCCTGAGGCAATGGTCCTCCATCAGAACCATTAGGTTTGAGGCCATGGTTCTCCATCAGAACCATTAAGCCTGAGGCAATGGTCCTCCATCAGAACCATTAGGTCTGAGGCCATGGTCCGCCATCAGAACCATTAAGCCTGAGGTCATGGTTCTCCATCAGAACCAGTTTGAATGAACCCTTTGGGTGGGAGATGATCTTCTGCATCAACCGGAGTTCAGGTATCTGGAGTTTTGTTTGTCAGTAGGAAAAATGAAGGATGAAGCAGCTGATGGCTCCGTGATGTGCAGTAGGAAAGTTCTGGTTTGTCACAGCAAAGAAGGAAATTAATTAAGCCCTCAATCACTGACTGGACTACATTCTAAACCTCATTTAATATCGTGATTTATGGCTGAAAGAATGAGATCAAGGACACCAGGAACTGAGCTTCCTCTGTTGGGGGGTCAGGCTCAGATCTCTTGTCATCTGTGAAGTCAGCCGAGTGGGTTCAGGGCTCGCCCCATTAAGACCAGACACAGAACTCATTGAAGGGTTCTAACCCCTCTCTGGTCTGGAAACTTCTTAAGATCATCCAGGAGGAGCTGGAGAAGGACGTCTAGGTTTCCCATCCATCATCTTAACCCACTTCTTGCCTTCTGGGTCACTGGTGCCCATATCCAGCAGTCATTGTCTGAGAGGCGGGGGACACCTGGACAGGTTTCCAGTCCATCACAGGGACACACTGGATAGGTCTCCAGTCTATCACAGGGACACCCTGGACAGTCAAACTGTTTTAGACACTAAGTTCGTTTTCTCAGTTTTTGAAACCATTAGTGAAAAGGCCAGACTTCAGGAGTATCTGAGGCAGGCTTGAAACACAAGAGTCAGGGTGGCTTCTGGGTAATACCAGATGGCTAGGCCTCAGACTGACGAAGCCTCTTGGATGAGGGGCGAAACGTTTCTTTTTAACAAAAAAACGAAGTCCAGATGACATGATTCAACCTTTTTTGTTGTTTTAGATACTGTGGCTCCATTACAGAAAAGAGCTTCCAGACTGAAGCCGGTCCCCTGGACTGATGATGTCACATGTGCTGCCAGACACCAGTGCAGGAGAGCAGAGCAGAAATGGATAAAGGACAAGTTACAGGTGTCTTTTCAAGCACTGAGGGACAGCTGGCATTTCTATCAGTCCACTGTTAGAGCTGCAAAAAACAAATATTTCTCTGACATCATTTCCTCCAACTCTAACAATCCACGTGTGCTTTTTAAAACCATCAGCTCTGTTCTTAATGCCCCACAATCAGCGAGCCCGGAGAACTCAGCTGAAGTGTGTAAGAACTTCCTGAGCTTTTTTACCAACAAGGTTGCAAACATTAGAGCTCTCATAAGCCCTCCATCTTGTGACCACTCATCTCTGTCACACGCTCTGCTGTTTTCAGTCAGTTTGAGCCTTTTTAAAAAGACGTCACTGGTCGTGTTGGATCTCCAAACGATCCCATCCCACCTCGTCTTTTTAAAGAGGTTTTTCACACGGTGGCTCCTTATGTGTCCCAAATTATAAATGGCAGCTTGGCAAGTGGACAGGTACCCGCGAGTTTTAAACATGCAGTTGTGACACCACTGATTAAAAAGTCTGGCCTGGACTCCACAGACGTCTAATTTTAGGAGAATTTCAAAACTGCCCTTTGTGTCAAAGATCTTGGAGAAAATTGTTTACAGACAGTTAACATCTTACTTAAACGACCACAACCTCCTTGAGCTGTTTCAATCTGGTTTTAAAACTTGCCACAGTATTGAGCACTGTTGAAAGTTTTCAACGACATTCTCTTAGCCACAGACTCTGGTCACTGTGTAGTTTTGATGCTGCTGGACCTAACTGCTGCCTTCGACACAGTGGACCATCAGACCGGTCTCATCTGGAGAACTGGGTGGGCATTCAGGGTCCTGCTCTACAGCGGTTTAGATCCTATTTAACAGAGAGAAGCTTTTGTGTGCATAGTGGTTCTGTGGAGCCCTCTATAGCGTCTCTCACATGTGGAGTACCTCAGGGATCTATATTTGGCCCCCTTCTGTTTTCCGTTTATTTACGCCCTCTGGGATATATTCATTCATTCAACCTATATTTAGACAGGTAATCCCATTGAGCCTCAAGGACTCTTTACAAGAGAGACCTTATTTCAACATCCGGAAACATAGCATTACTTTTCATTTTTATTCTGATGACAGCCAAATTTATGTGCTATTAAAACAAGATAAACAATGCTCTGTGAGCCAACTCCTGGAATGCATATCAGAAGTCAGAGCATGGATGTCACAGCTTCTTCAAGGCTCAATGTGACTTATCTGTTTAAATAAAGGTTGAACGAATGAATGAAAATTTTACAATTTAATGAAAAAAGACAGAGGTCTTGTTGTTTAAGCCCAGTGATGGTTCCAAAGCCCATGATGATCTGGGTCCTTTCACAAAACATTTGACTGAGACAGCAACTAACCTGGGTGTGAGACTGGACAACGATTTTAAACTAGATCTTATTACCGGTAGTTATCTTACTAAACTACATCTTACCTTCTGGTAAAATGGCGCCTGTGTACATAGCTTGCAATCTACTTCTGTTGACGGTGCTTATATTATTTGTGCTTTTGTTTTTATTTTGTTTCTCATCTGTGACATCAGCTGTCTGCTGACGTATGAATGACAACTTCAGGATGTATGACTTTGTGCCGCCAACGTCGCTTATTTTGACCAATATGAGCGGAGCTCTGGACCCCCCCCCCCTCCCCCCGCTTCTGACGGACGTGCCTGTTTACCTGTGGCGCGCTGCTCACCTGCCTGCCCGGAGACCTTGCTCCAGACGCCGGGGAAAACGCGCTGGCCGGCTGGTGAAGCTTAAAGCCCATTTTGCTCTCTCTGCAACATCCTCGCTGATGGTCAACATTTCCATCTCCAATCCTGGCGCTGTGCTGATCCTGTGGCGCGCTGTCTGGTCCCGTTTGTGGGGTCTGATCCTCACACTGGGCCTGTGCGCGGCTGTGTTTCATGTCCGTGGAGAGGGTTGAACTCTGCAAATCTGAGACTGCTGGACTGGGCACTGCAGGCATCTCCTCCTGTGGTGGATTCTACAAGGATGGCCCTGATGAATGCCAGATCACTGGCTAACAAAAACTTTTATTTTAAATTAATTTTTCTAGATTATCTTTTCGTAATGAGACTTAGAGCTGCTCTGGTAAGTTTAGCGTCTTTTTGGAATCACTGCCTCTGGATTGCTCTTTTTTGTCAATTCTCCAAGGACAACTGGTCGTGGCGGAGGATTACTGACTGTTTTTAAGAAACATTTGAACTGTAGACAGATCCATGGTTCAGCTAATTATCTGAGTTTCGAACTGCTCTGTTGTGAGCTGGGCCGCTCCATCCCGGTTCTGTGTGCTGTTGTTTTACAGACATCCCAAATACAACAAAGAGTTTTTAAATAAACTCTCTGACTTTCTAACTGGTATTCTGCTCCAATATGACTGTTTTAATTGTGGGGGATTTCAATATTCACGTCTGCTGCCCTTATAAACCATTATCTCAGGACTTTCTAGAACTCATCCAGTCCTTTAACTTTGTTCAGAGTGTTGTTGGTCCGACTCACCAGCAGGGCCACACTCTTGACTTAGTTTTTAAAAGCATTGTTTATCTGTCTTTGATTTAGAAATTTGTGAAACTGTTTTTCCAAACACAAACCTGTTTTATTCAACACCTCTTTGATTTGTGAGTCTAAAAATATCTTGATGACATCAAGACTTGGATGGCTTCAAACTTTTTAAGTTTTAATGATCAGAAAACTGAGGTCATTGTGTTTAAACTTTAACCCTAGCTCTGCCACTGTCACTGATCCTGTAAACCTGCACTCCCTTCAGCCACATCTAAAACAGTCTGTTACAGTCTCGGGACAGTCAGGTCTCCAGTCCATCGCAGGGACATCTAGGGACAATTTAGAGTTACCAATCAGCCTAACATGCATGTTTTTGATCTGTGGGAGGAAACCGGAGTACCCGGAGAAAACCCGCGCAGCACGGAGAGAACATGCAAACTCCACCCAGAAAGGCCCCCGGCCAGGATTTGAACCAGCGACCTTTACGCTGAGCCGCGGTCTAGGTTTCTCTTCCGAGAACAAACTCAGTGTGTGAAACAGAAGAAAAAAACACAAAGAAGCGTTTTCTTGTAGTTTGTTTTATTGGAAACAACAATTTCCATCTAATATTATTTAAAGAAATCAGTGGAACATCTTCAAATATTATTTTAGCAAAATAAAGAAAATGAGGAAAGAAAAATCTGAATGATGCAGAAATATGTTGAAAACGAGGAATTTCTATTTATTTTTTGTAAAAGATAAGATTAAAGGCTTTAAAATAATATTAAATATAAAGTAATCATATAAACCAGGCTGTTTGGGTGTAAAATTAAAATATTTATCTTTAAAATGTTTACCATAAATTAAAAGAAGGGGTGAATAAAATATTCTGTTAGCAGCTGCAGGTTTCAATTCTTTGATCAGTTCACGTTTTAATTTAAAAACTTTGGCTTCAGATCACGAGATCTGCTTCACAGCTGAAGAAACGTTTGTAAACTCAATCTGAGAAAAACTGACAAATGTTTCAACATGATTATAGACAGATGTCATTCCATAACGACGGCTTTTACACACCAGCCGGATCAACTGAGAGGCAGCTTCGGCTGTTCAGAGAGCACAAAGAGAGAGGGAGCTGCAGGACTACAGCAGCTGAAACCAGAAGGAGCTGCAGGACT